TTATATTCGCCATGATAACAATTCGCTGACGGACACAAAATTACTTAATTCATTACTATTATAGATTCATCGCTTGAGTCTAATGCCTCTTCAGAATTCGATTCGGGATCACTAAATAGTTCTTCACCAACTATTTCTTCGTCCTCTTCATTAATTGTATCTTTATCAGGCTAATAGTTTCTGTAGTCTTTTCATTTCATCGTCATAACTCAAATAGCAGGACCTTTTTGCAACTGCCTGATGTCTTTCACAATTTTAAATGACAATGCGAGCGCGCGCCTCGGGCCTGGGAAGCCCGGTTACTCAGTTTCTGAGATAAGATGAAGGGTTAAATTCCGGAAATTCTTGTGAATGACAAGTACATGACCTTAAACGCAGCTACTGTATTTGTGATTTTTGTGATTTTGGTCAAAAAATTTCACTAAAGGGAGAAATTTTTGTATTAGTTTTTGTAACTACCGTGCCTCGCAGGCCCGACGCGCGTTCTAGCGGGTTAAGCTGCATTTCAAACGTTCGAAAAGATAGTAGCGGACTTAGTTCCGAGTTTATGCTGCATGTTTGAAGTAAGGTCTCTAGTCGGTGTTATGCACTTATCAGGTTCTATGTTCCGTCTTACTTTCTTTGGGAACATGCAAGGACCTGACTCGGAACAGGGAGCTTACTAAAGCTATGTTCAATAACTGTGGGAAGTAGACAAGATACACAAGAAGGGTATACAAAACCCTTTATCTTTCACTCTTTACAATAATTTCCGTACTTCGGAATACAGAGACCAACTACTTGTGGTCTGAACGTAAGAATATAAAAATATAACTAAACTCTAACTTAAATTTGGAATAATAAACGTGGAAGATTGGCCTTATATTAACAGGAAGCCGTATGTAGTACAGAGAACTGTAACACTACAATACGTTTAAAATTATCACGAGGATTAAACCTCTGGCCTGGAAGGCAAACAGCAACCGAGTAAAACCTCTAAGGCAAGCGGCCTGCTTCGACTAACTCCTTCCTCTCTCTCGCTTGGCAAAAAGCCACAACTTAAGTACTTGGCGTTCGCCAGACAAATTTTGCATAAATAAGTTAACGCTTTTAATTCTGGCCGGAAGTAGAAAATAAGAAGTGATAGTAAAGATTTAAAATAAAATAAACGTTAGTAAAACTTAAGATCCTTACACACTTTTCAGTCTATACTGTTTTTCTTAAGATCGGCTTTGCTGTGTGCAGCCGATTTAGCGTTTAGACACTGTCAGCATTATCATTACCATCACCTTCTGAATAATTTTCAGATAATTGTAAATATTCCAAAGCTTCCTGAACAGTGTTGAACAGTCCTTAAAAGCTGCACTTGTCTACATACTGGAAAATAAGTATTCCAGTATATATTCAGACTCAGCCTTTAGCCTCCAGGCAATCCAGGGCACATATAGTAATAATCCACTCGTCAGGGACATACAAAAACTCTTACTAAGAACACCTAAATACTATAGGCCTGAACTCCAGTGGGTACCTGCCGACACTGGAATAATGGGTAATGAAATTGCAGATGCAATAGCCAAAAGAGCAGCAACTGATCCCCACGTTCGCACACTTGACGTGCCTCTCCCGGGTTCGTTCTTAAAAGCTGAGCTCGAGAGAGAATTACTCAAACTTTGGCAACATCTGTGAGAGACAGAGACCCAACCGGGAGAAGAGTTTACAGATTTTTTCCAAAAGTCTGCCGGCTTCTAAAATCTGGCTCGTCTCACTTACTTCACTCAGTATCTAACAGGACATGGTCCCTTCATGATTTACCTGCATCGCTGCAGACAACGCGAAAGTGAGCATTACTCATGCGGGATAGTAGGGGATCCGGACCACTATCTGTTCGCTTGCAGAGAGACCGCCAAAATATCATCTTAGGACACCAGTAGCAAACCACATCCATGCATGGGCCGAAGCTACTTCAAAAAATCGCAATGCATTGAAACGCATATGCGATTGCATAATAATAGCACCAAATCTCAGACAGGCTGGAGTAATTCTCAGCTACCATCTTCGTAACCACACAGCCCTATGCTCTGTACCTGTAGTAACTAATTTTATCTTAAGTTAGCTTATTCGGCTTTTCTATTCCCTGTATATATTATCTCCGAATGTAAACTTTGAATTATGAACCTTGAATTATGTATTTTGCCTTATTTATGTATTGTTTCCACTGTTTTGCCTTTTTTTTATTATATGTATTATTTCACTTTTAGTATTTTAATTCTTATTACTTTAGTATTTGTAACCACCTATCCATAACTCTGTAAATATGTAACTGAATTGTTCTTCACCCGCAATGCACCCTATTCCATCACTGCACTATCGTTCTTCGTCCAGCATTTGTTTGCACTGCCCCTAGCATCGTTGAGCACGATAGTATTTATATGTTTTTGATCAAGTTATTTCCGTCAGCGGGTACCTGCCGATATGCTAACTACCCAGTGGACCGGCGCCTCGCTGTCGGTGAAAAGAATAAAGTCCTGGACGACGTCGTGACATCTTCTTTATCCTTAAACTAAACATAGAATAAAAGCAACTTAAAAAAAAAAAAAAAATCTTTCGAATTTTTCGTTGTAATTTTCCAATGCATTCGAACCAAAATTTAAGGCCTTGACTAAAAACCTACATTATTCCTCTTCTGGTACAGTCCATATTGAGGTATTCCAGGGTTAGGCAAATATACGATATCGAGACATGAATAACGCAATTTGAATTTTGTCAATCGGCCCAGTAGAACGTGATCTATAGAACTGTCCCCCCCTTTTTTTTCTGCCCAGCATACCTGAAAGAACACGGAGAATTTGTAATATGTTCAGATCCCTTTTGTATGCAAATCAATCATATCAGTTACTTCCGAAAAAACACTGTCATCATTATCATCATCTTCTGAATAATTTTCAGATAATTGTTGTAAATGTTCCAAAGCTTCCTGAACAGTATTGAACAGTCCTAGACGACGTCGTGACATCTTCTCTATCCTTATACTAAACATAGAATAAAAGCAATTTCAAACAAACTTTCGAAATAATCGTTATAATTTTCCAATGCATTCGAACCAAACTTTAAGGCCTTGGCTAAAAACCTACATTATTTCTCTTCTGATGCAGTCCATATTGAGGTATTCGAGGGTGAAGCAGATGTACGTTACAGTTACTTCCGAGAAAATGCATCTGTTTTTCGTCATTTAGGCATAAAACATTTCTTACGCGTCAAATTGAATCGCTTCGCGGTTCTAGGTGCAAGTATTAATAATCAGAATTTATTTATGCCACGCATTTTCAAATTCACTAAGTTGCTATTTAACTTAAATTATTAAAATTCATAAAAGTGTGATGTAGCCGTTCCTCAATAGACACTAATGCCGGCTAGCTTTAAAAGGATTTATTAACAGAGCACACAGGAACGGTTACAAACAAAAGAAATATATATAAAAATGAAACATAAACGAAATGGAACATCAAACATTGAGAATAACATAACATAGTAAGCTATCATCATGGCGGCTGGAGGTCGACTGACGTTTTTTTCATATCGCCACGAGATGGCGTTTTAAATAAAATAGTTCGGTTACAGTTTCATGAGTTCATGGCGTGAATAAAATAGTTCAATTACACTTAAATAGGTCTGTTGTTACATCCTCCCCCTCTGACTTCGTAGACGTCTCGGCAAGAAGTCAGGAACTGACATTTGTCTACTTTGTGCAGCGGGCGGAGAATCAGATGGACGGGCTCCAGTTTGACGAGGAGTAGATTTGCGCGTCACCAGCACCTTGTGCAACAGGTGCAGATTCGGATGGTATTACACGTTTCGGGCGTCCTCTTTTCTTTAAGGGAACCACTGGAATTACACGAGCTGAGTTTTGCTTATTTCGATCTTGATATGGTTTCAAGGCTGAAACATGATACTTGCCGAGAATTTTGTCTGTTCATGAGGATCGGCAATATCATAAGTGGTTGGAGATCTTGTAGTCACTATCACATAAGGACCATCTCTCTTGGGCATGAATTTAGCAGTTTTCTTCAGTGGACCTTTGCTGATTGGGTGGAGGGTGAACCCAAACTTTATCTCCAGGAAACGGAATTTTGGTGTTTCTCTTCGTTTTTGTACCAGCATATCGTTTCTGCTTTATCTTGATGCAATTTCGACTCTTTCTCGTACCTGTTGTACATTTCTTGCAAAACGTTTCAAATATGGAGTAATTTCGGGAACAAAATTATCGTTCTCAATTACGGCTTTTATATCATGCTTTACATCATCTAAGGTTCGTAACTCTCGTGCAAATTGAAGAAAAGAAAGCAGAATGTCCAGTTGAATCACATTTGGCTGTATTCAAAGCAAACCTTATTAATGGCAGTTTATCCTTCCATGACTGATGGTCGTTACCAACAAGTTTCAACAAGTCTAAACGTGGTTTCAGATCTCTATTCTTCCTTTCAACTGGGTTAGATTGTGGGTGATAGACAGGAGTAAGACTTTGATCAATGTTCAAGATATAGCATAGTTGTTGCATAACAGCACTAGTAAACTGGGTACCATTATCACTTATTATTTTCCTGGGTAACCCAAATCGAAGAGCGACTTCCTCCAAAAGAATAGTGGCACATTCTCTGGCCGTGGCTTCCTTTAAAGCAAATAGTTCTGTCCACTTCGTAGCACAGTCCTGCACAATAAAAATCCATTTTTCACCAGACGGTGTTTCAGGAAGGGGACCGAAAAAGATCAATTGACAAGGTCTCAAAACGTTGAGCATAGACTGGAGTTTGAAGTAAGTAAACCAGATGGCTTTTGATTAGTGGCTTTATAACGACAGCATTCGAGACAGCTTTTGACATATTCTGCTATATCCTTTCTCATTCCAACCCAGTAGTATCTTTTTGCTATTCGATAAAATGTTCCTTTCAGATCCATAGTGACCGGCCGTTGGCGAATCATGATATTCTTTCAAGATTTCTGCTTTTCTTTTTTTGAGGTATAACTAGTTGAGCTTCTTCCTCTCTGAATCAGGGGAATATCGGTACAAAAAACTCCTCTGTTCATAACGTAGCCTCTTCCAGTCCAAGTTGCACAGTCTGCTTCTTTCTCTGGACTCTCAAAAGTTTCGATGATCTTCCGAAGATCATCATCTTCTAGCTGTGATTGTCTTAATTCTGCAGGGCTAATAGTAGGGATTTCGACAGAGACAGCACATACTTGACAAGAATCTGTACTTGAGTGTTCACAAATAGGACGAGACAATAGATCAGCAATAAAGTTCAATCGTCCAGGAATGTAATTGTCCAAGAATGTAATGTCCAGGAATGTAATAGTCAGATTGTAGGATTGGATTTGTAAGGCCCATCTTGCGAGCCTACCAGTTGGTGACTTTAAAGACATCAGCCATTTCAATGGTTGGTGGTCAGAGGTGATTGTGATAGACTGGCTTTCAACATATCCTCTAAATTTGTTGAGTGCCCATACTACTGCTAAGGCTTCTTTTTCTATGGTGGAATAGTTTCGTTCTGATGCAGTCAGCAAGCGGGCTGGCATATTCTATAGGGTGTTTCTTCATTTTTCTCCCCTTTGTAGCAACACTGCTCCAATGGCTACATTGCTAGCATCTGTGCGAATGATAAAAGGCTTCGTTCCATCAGCTTGCTTAAGAATCGGCGGGCTAATTAATTTGGATTTCAGCTCTTGGAAAGCATTTTCTTGTTGTGCGCTTCCCACTTCCACAGCGCTTTCTTCTTTGTTAAATCCGTTAACGGTTTGGCTATTTGAGAAAAAATTTGGAATATACGACGATACCAGGAACACGTTTGTACGAACGATTGCACTTGCTTAACAGTTTTCGGCGATGGCATGTCTGCAATGGCAGCAGTCTTGTGTGGATCAACAGCTATACCATGCTTAGTAATGTAATGCCCTAAATATTTCACTTTTTCACAACAGAAGTGGCACTTCTCACGATTAGCATTGAGCTTGAATAACGATAGACGTTGGAAAACTTGTTCTAAGTCAGAAAGGTGCTTTTCGAAGCTAGATGACAGCACGATGATATCATCTAAATATGTCAAAGCAAACACATTATTAAGTCCAGAACGGAACCTATCTATCAATCTAGAAAAAGTGGCAGGAGCGTTTCTCAATCCGAAGGGCATTCGGGTAAATTTATATGTACCAAAAGGGCAAACAAAAGCAGTCTTATTTTGATCTTCTTCAGCTACTCTCACCTGATGATAACCGGATCTCAAATCAATAGTTGACATATAAGGTGTCGGTTTTGCTTCACTCAACAAATCATTTATACGTGGCAAAGGATAAATGTCTGGAACGGTTTGAGCATTTAGGTTACGATAATCAATGCATAACCGTACTTTTCCATTTGCCTTGGGAATCAGAACCACAGGAGAGGCATAGGGGCTTTCACATTCTTTTATGATACCTTGTTTCAGAAGGAATCAAGTTCCTTTTTCAACAGTTCTTTCTTACTTGGGCTCATCCGATATGGAGGGACTGAAACAGGGGGGCTGTTTCTTGTGTTAATATGGTGTTCAATGAATGGAGTGGCTTCTCCCCCTACTTTGAAGACAGTGTGATATTTGTTAAGCAATGCATCAGTTGCAAGCCGTTGGGCTGTAGTTAATTGTTGTCCTTCATTTTCTCGTAGTTGGCAGTTGTTTACAACAACTGGGGTTTCTTCCAGTACTTGGGATTGATGAGGTTTCACGAAGCTATATTTTCTTCGAGGTTCATCAGAAAAGTTCCACTTATTTTCAGCAAGATTTAAAACAATTTTAGCTTTTTGAAGAAAGTCAATTCCTAACAGAGTCGAGTTATTTTTGGCATCAGGCAACACAAGGAGCGGAGTTTTGAACTCTCTGCCTTCGAGAAGAATAATTTGTTCGGTGCGAAGTACCTCTTTTTCAGATACCAAACCATCAGCGAAAGACACCTGTAGTGTTGTCTTTTCAAATACTGCATCTTGTTTCTGCAGAATATGATAGAGGGATTCACTTGCAATTGAGTGACTAGCACCACTGTCGGCGAAAGCTGTACCGGAAACACCACCAATACTAATTGGAAATACAGCAGTCCGAGTGGAAGATAAACAGGATCGGATTTGGATAGTGCCAAAATTTGATGAATTTGAAGTCTTTGGGGGGTTACAGTCTGGACATTTAGACTTGATAAAACCAGTTTTTCCGCACCCATAGCATGTTAAAGGAGGTCGCTTTTCCTCTGTTTGTTGCTGAACCACGATTTGAAAAAGGTTTTATGAGTTCCCTGTATGTCACTTGTTCGATTTTCTACTTTGTGTTTGGATGGATTAGTCGGTTTGTAAGAATAGTTCCGCCTGCCAGGAAGTTGAGTTTTATAGTTCGTATTTTTAACACGTACAGCTTCATAATCATCCAATTTCTGTACTAATTCAGATGAACTCTTTATTTTTCCCCAAGTATCAATAAAATGCTCCTTAACGTCACTACTGACTCTTCTTTTAAGCTGATCCGTCAGGACCAAGTCTTTGAGTGATTCAAAGTCTGTAACATCGAGACTATGGAGCCACTCTTCGAGATAATTGTTTAATTCGTAAGTAAAATCTTTCCATAAAGACCCAGGGTGTTTTTGGTGTGTAGTAAGTTTAATTCGAAATGATTCAGCATTTAATTTGAATCTTTGTAGCAGAATCTTCTTGATGTAAGAATAATCTTCTAATTTGTCTTTTGGTTCTCTTAAAATAATTTGCGAAATGTCTATAGGCAGAAGAGGTAGGAGATGAGTGATGTAATCTATTTGTTTTATATTAACTTTCTCACATTGTCTTTCAAAAATTTGCAGGTAGGTTGCAATGTCAGAAGTTCCTGTAAATTTAGGGATTAGGTGTTGAATATTTGTTCCAATAGCTGCATTTGAAGCAAAGGCGGCATAGTTAGGGTTTGAGCTAGCAGCTGCCAGGTTTAATTTTAAACGTTCCAATTCTAATAAAAGTTCTTGTTCTTTTCTTTGACGTGTCTCCAGATCGTTGCTTTCACGTTGTTTTTGTTGTCTAGTTTCGATTAAAGTTTCCAGAAGATTCCTGGTAAAAGCCTCATCATAAGTGTCAGAATTGACAATAAGATCTTTAAGATCTATTACTCGCATAGTGTCGTTTACAGTGAAACCCAGTTCTGCAGCGAGAGTTTTTAAATCCTCTTTTCGTGCTTTGGCAAGGTAAGCCATAATTATATGAGAGGTCAGGGGGGAGGGAAAAGATGAAGTTGAATTTGTTGTTATTTCGATTTTATTCACAATACAGTATTTTAGAATTAATAATTATACCTTTAAGTAAAATTAAACAGCATGTATGAATGTAAACAATGTTACTCGTACATTTATATACCACTATTAAACAGTATTTATAAATGTAAACAATAATACTCACAAAGTTTTTTATTTCGAAGTCGTAAAAATATCATAAAATGCCCTCCTAAATTCAACTTGTATCAAGAAAATAACATATAATAAATTGCTCA